GCGAAAAGTGCCAACGACGATATATCGTTGCGTATGCGATGGTGTCTTATTCTTCGCATTAGGAGAAAGCTCTGTCTCAAAAAAAATTTGTAAAACATTATAAAGGGTCTAATTTTATTGCAAAAGCATTTAAAAAATTATTTTTTAGAGGCCTTTTTCGCTCGGGCGAACCAGCAACTCAACACTACTTTGTGGCGGAAACGTATGTATTCTGGAGTCGTCATATTATACAGGGTGTTCGGCCAACCCTGGGAAAAATTTTAATAGGAGATTCTAGAGGTCAAAATAAGACGAAAATGAAGAATATCAGTTTCTTGACTGAGGCCTCGTTAAAAAATGATTAACAATTAAATTAAAAAATTTCAAACCGTACTGGAAAAATTATCTTCGATTGCAGGGGTCAATTACAATCATTTTTGGTAAATACACATACCTCCGAATTCCTACCCACTTTCGAGAAAAAAATTCGAGTAGGTACTGAACTTTTTAGATGAAATTAAAATATTTAAAATCACACTAAAAAAATTATATTTAGTTACAGGGGTCAATTACAATCATTTTTTATCATTACACATACCCCCGAAATCCTACGCATTTTCGAGAAAAAAATTTCTTATCGAAAATCTAATTAGGTACCTAGATTTTTCGACGAAAAAAAAAAAATTTCAAATCGTTCTGGAAAAATTATTTTCGGTTTCGGGGGTCAATTACAATCATTTTTGGTGAATACACATACCCCTGAATTCCTACCCACTTTCGAGAAAAAAATTCGAGAATGTGTGAAATTTTTCGACAGCAAAAAAAAATTTCAAACTATTCTGGAAAAATTATTTTCGGTTGTGGGAGTCAATCACAATCATTTTTGGTGAATAGACATACCCTCGAAATTCTGCGTGTTTTCGAGAAAAAAATTCAATACGGGCTCCACTTTAAACGTTAATAACTTTTTAACAAAGCCTCATCATATTTTGAATTGATTATTTATTAAAAAATCATTGAAAATCAAATACTTATACTTTATGCTACGTGACCTACATAAAACTGTGATCAAACAATGATTATTCTTATGTGTAAATATTGCTTGTAGAAGAGAAACTTGTTTCTATGTTTTTTATCATATTTTATAATTATGTTATTTATACGATTTGCAATAAATATTGAAATGCAATTGCCATTACTTTATTCTTTCTTTATTTCGTAATATGCTGCTTTTTGAATTTTGTAAATATCATTCTTAGTTTGGTTTTTACGAGCTTTTTCTCTAACCATAACAAATTCGTCAAATTGGCTCGGTATTCTTCGCATAGGCACCCGTTTTTCGCTCGGTACTAAAAGGGTTAATAGCGTTTCGGTTCGGCGTTAATCGCTCACGCGCACCACCTACGCGTTTCCAGAGAACGAAGCTTCCAATCACAAGTGTATGACAATGATTTTTGGCCTCGAGGAAAGATCGCCCGCGGTATTGAACAAAAAAAAGGTAATAGCAGCCGCAGCCGATGGTTTTCAGCGGATTTCCAAAAATATTTGTACGAAGAGGTCTCTCCCTCGGGAAACGACAATTGAATCAATTTAGAGAACGGGTTTGATAGGCCGAGCGACACGCGGGCGCGTTACACGGTAGGTGTTTTGAAATATTACGCTGGTGTTACGCCAATTACCGTCGACAGGGCGCGAAAATCTAATGGACAATTACGGTTAACATCAGATCGCGATATTTTCCGGGGGACACAAAGTATGGTCGACAAAGGTTGTTCTCGAAACTGTTGCTTCTTGTGAAACATGAAATACGTGCCCTCCGACAAACGTCATCAAACGAACTGTCACACGAAAATTGATAGTTTGAAAAAATTTAATATCCATTTTGGAAAATAGATTGAAAATATCAGAAATAAAAAGCCAACGGATATTTACACGATTTTTTTTGTTTGATTTCAATGCATGAATAATATTCTAAACACCATGGTGTGTGAACATCTGTGTGTGAACTTTTCTCAGAATATACGTATAAAATGCAAAAAAAAAAAAAAAATACATGCTTGTATTAAGTTACAATATTGTTCTGGATAACGAGCAGAACAGTGAATGCGCATCGTCGTAAAAATTTGTATTAATCGTACAAATTAGCTGCTCGCATCAGCGTTGCTTGCTTTGCTGCGTATATAAATCCCTCAATGCTTCATCGATTCACGAACGAGGAACGAAACCGCGAAGTGTTTGTCATACTTTCCAATTATGCTACTTGCTGAAATTGTTGGTCATACACGAGCGAATAATTAATGACGTTCGGGGAAACGCGACATAGAAGTTCGCTTTTGGAAATAATGCGTTGACGACGCGATCCTGGAATCCGATTCAATTTCACAGTTTGTCGGCAGAAACAAGAATAATCAATAACGATCCTTAATAATCACTATTTCGCGGGCTCATGACCAATTGCGGATTATTATACATGCTTCTCAACGCGTTGCGTGACACGAAAACTTATTCACGTAAATTCGGCTAATTCTAAATAATTGCAAACGGATAGGTATATTTTCGGAAACGGGCGCTACGCAACAGTAGTTCGAATTAAAATTATCGTTCCCCCGCAAATCACGGGCACCCATTTCGAAATTTAATTCGCAAACTTGGTTTACGTGTTTGGCTAACAAGTACGATCGAATTTTGAAGATGCACACTGCGTGGGAGAGACGCGTCGAATTTCTGTTTTTGCAATGAACCATCGTTTAAATCACTCAAGTTGCTAGCTTAAATAAATTCAAAATAGGGAATAACAAAAAATCGTCAAAATCCCACCCCGAGAAATTAAAAATAAAAATATTAATTTCGATGGTTGACGATGATTGAGGTTGAGATAATAGATACTTCTGGTTGATAGATCGATATACAGTGAGTGTAAAAAGTATTCGTACACTAGTCAATTTGAACAAAAACTTTGCAGAACTTTGTTTATTACAAAAGTATGTTAACAAAAACATGCATACATATTCTTAGAAATCTCTGGAACAAATGTCATTAACAACAAATTATTTATATATATTTATTATGAAAATATTAACAAATTTCCAGAAATTGGCGTGAAATATACGTGTAATAAGTATTCGTACACTTCTAATTTGACAACAAAAACTATAAATTTTAGTACATAAACGTAACAAAAATCAGTCTATTTGCTATTTTAGTATCTAGTGGGATTTCCTTTAGATTGTATAATCGCTTTAAGCCTTTGCGGCATTGAATTTACTAAATTTTTGGTTATAGTACTAGAAATTTTGTTCCATTCTTCTAAAAGTGCATTTTTTAAATCTTGTTTCGAAGAAATGTGATGGTCTCGAATTTTTTCTTCAAGATGACTCCATAAGTGCTCTATCACATTTACGTCTGGAGACTGTGGAGGGATTTTTAATTGCTGCGGCACATTATATAGGATCCACTGACGTGTATTATAAGCATTATGCTTTGGATCATTATCTTGCAAAAATATATAATTGCCCTGTAACTGCATTTTATTTGCACTAACCTGAAGATGCTCTTTTAGAATATCGATGTACATTTTGTGATCCATGATACCATCGATAAAATGGAGGGATCCAACCCCGCTCGCACACATAGAGCCCCAAACTGTGACTGATCCTCCTCCATGCTTTACAGTCGCCTTCAAATTTCTTTTTTCGTACACGGTATTTTTTTTCCGCCATACTGTACATCGTCCATCTGACCCAAATATGTTAAATTTACTCTCATCAGTAAATATAATACGGTTCCGGTGCTCCATAGGAACATTAACGTACTCTTTCACGAATTGCAATCGTTTCTTTCTATTAATTTCATCTACGAAATATTTCTTACGAGCTACTCTGCCGTGATATCCTCTATCCCGTAAAAAATTACGCACTGTGCTACTGCACTCATTAATGTCCAGATCATTTTTAAGTTCAGCTGTGATTTTCACCGCACTTATCTTTGGATTTTGTTTTATTTTCGAATTATCCATCGGCCGGTATACTCATTTATTATTCGTTTACGTCCGTTTCTTGGATTATTTTTTACAGTTCTTCGATCGCCATATCTGTGAATGATTCCTTGAATCGTGGACCTCGGTCTATTTAAAACTTTAGAAATTTCACTCAGTGTTTTACACTTATTATGTATAACAATTTTCCTTTCTTCTTCAGAGGTTTCCTTGCGTTTTCGTCCCCTTTTACTGATAATTTCGTTGATAATGTTTGAATTCAGGATACTACCTATACCGACAGCGTCTCCAGACATGCTGATGCTAAGTATGTTTACGTATCATGGATTATCTTGTAATCGTTCTATGTGGAATGTTACGAATCAAAGACTGTACGAATACTTATTACGCGTATATTTTAGGTCAATTTCTGGAAATTTGTTAATATTTTCATAATAAATATAGATAAATAATTTGTTGTTAATGACATTTGTTCCAGAGATTTCTAAAAATATGTATGTTTGTTTTTGTTAACATACTTTTGTAATAAACAAAGTTCTGCAAAGGTTTTGTTCAAATTGACTAGTGTACGAATACTTTTTACACTCACTGTAATTTCGTGACAATGTCTATTAATTCACTATTATGCAGAATATTTTCGAGAAAGCACGTTGAATACCTAATAAAAGAATTTTAATATCGATTGTAAGTTGTTATGAATCAGATTTTAGAAAATTCTGCTCATCATCGTAAACATCGTTCGCTATCTCAAGAAAAATGATACTTCTATCACGATAAGGCTCGACAGGGGGTTCTGATTTTTATAAATAGCTTAAAGACACGAGGATTTACGTAATTTGTTTATCCGATCGTTCCTCGATGTTTAATTGACAGGCGAACCCTGATAAGGTACGGTATTATCGGCGACGATCGCAAATAATAGCTTTATGAATCGTCAAGGTGCAATACACTTTGAAAAAAAGGAAAAGTTTCATCGTCCCCACCAATTAGTTTCTCTTATAAATACGGTAGTCTTCCCAGACTGAATCAGAAAGCTACAAGTTCTATTCCAGCGAAGAAAAGGTGAGCTTTACACTTAGGTGCACATTTATTAATAAACAAGACTATTCTTGCAAACATTCGTCGGTAAATACTATTTTTCTATTTCGATTAGCAATAAATATACTAACAAAAATGAGGAAACTGTTTGTGATGCTGTTTGCCGCTCTTCTGGTTATTTCCCTTGTGAATGGCTGCAAACCACCTGGATTAGTTGTAAGTAAACGCACCAATTATTAATAATATATGTAAATCTTAATTACCACATTTTCGGAAAAATTCCATTTACTGCTATTTACATATATTTGCCAACATCTATTGTGATTCGAGAGATATAAATATTTGTCTTTTAACTCAATCGATTAAATTAGTACTCAAATTTAATGGGTGTATAAAAAAATTTAAGAACTGAATTAATTCTTTAGACATCTAATGGCATGCTATGACAGGGTAATTATCTTGTGAATAATATTGTAACATTTATTTCAAGTAAATCATATCATCAATTATTTAAATATTTTTTACGATAATAATTACGGAATTTGTAAGTAAAATATGATATTCATTCTTGTAAGTTGTTAATCAAAGAAAGTAATATTTGACCTTCAAATATCTTAACGAATTTCAAAGATATTGTTTGAAAGAATGTGATTGAATTTAATCCAATTTACAAAAGGAATAGTGAACAACTCATAATGAAATTTAAAAATTGAAGTTGGGGCAACTGATAGTAGGACTGTCAAAGATTGAAAGTGCACCATTAGAGTTTGTTTTCATATTTTGTCCTGAAGATTGATTTTTACAATTCGTACGAGGATTAATTAGAAACTAGTGATCATTTTGTATGGATACGAATGACTAATTTCTAAGTATACTTTGTTCCAGTGCGCTGACGATAAAGATTGCTGTGCACCGTTAGTATGCAACCCATGGGCTGGCCGCTGCACCAAGAAACCTGCTCCACCAGCACCAGTAAATCCACCACAAGAACCGCCAGCACCAGCCGATGATACGCAATAAATGATCAACTGACCGATATTATATTTTATTCGTAGGCCTACGAATTAATCCTCGAATCCACTTATCTCTATACATTATACCTATAACATGAACATGAAACTGCCAATACATCATTTTAAAAATGTATTTTATTCAGTGTTATTATTTTTCATATCCTCCTCGTTAATATCAAGTCTTTCGATTTGGAATTAAATACGAAAACAATTTGAAATATTCACTCGATCTCATCTGGATTGCTCGAAATATTTATATCATACGCGAAAAAACTTCGTTCGAATAACGTAAATTTCCCAATTTCTACTTCACATAAAAGAAGGTGTAACAAATTATCGTCTCTGCTGAACATTTATAAAATTAATGCTTATTTTCTTAGCGATTAATCAACTAATCGAAAGAATATAGAAAAAGCTATTCAAGCAGGTTTAATTATTAATTATGATTAATTACAACAGTTACTTGAATGCCTGTATTTAATATCCACGAAACATTTGTTATAATTTCTGAACAAATATTTAATGTAATATTACTATTCTAATGCTTAACTAAGTTACTAATTTCTACAGAACTTTTACTTACAAATTATTGATTCTTCTTCTTCTTTATTGGATCTAATTATATTAAAAATTAATGTTAATAAATACTTGTTAATACTAATTGCTGAAGCTAATAAATCTTAAAGATTTGCTAATCTACATGCAGTGCGCGTTATCGAATGTTTAAAAAACTAAAGATGTTTGAAATTCACAATCACGATTTCTCTTGCTGTAATTTTATTAGCGAGGACAGATTCCTTTTCCGAATGTTTGTCATCCGGTGATCGAATCGAATCGTATCAATTTATCAGTAATTGCATCGCCTATTTCGATAGAATGAATACACGCGATCACGGTGAGGTTTAAATGTACACGATATTATACGAACTAACATTTATACAAAATAAATAACTAGTTGAACAAGAAAAGACAAAGTGACACGTTTAATATTTTTAAATAAAACAGGAATATCACTGATTACATATCAAATGTAAAGCTAAATGCTTCTAAAATAGTATTTACTTTGATCCTTTTTATAACAATGCAAAAATTATTTTAAATATTAGGTATAAATCTGAATTGAAATTTTCTTGTGAAGCTAAAATATTTAAACATGATAGTTGTTATATTCCATTCTTCGTGTCATCATGAAATAGGTACGTACTATATCATAACTAACATGTCCATCTTGCAAAAATTATGGATTTTCTTATACTATTATTTATAATATATTCAACAATTTGTTATCCGCGATATTCAACTAAGTAGATTTAATTCTATTTTTATCGAAGCGATATTTTACGTTTTATCAAAGAGCTGATGTACCTAGAAGTAATATAAATGTAAATAAAATTTATATTACATCTATCATGTGTACACTACTGAGTTTGAAGTTTAATTGAAAAGAGTAGACTTGTAATAGATATTCAATAAATAAAAAAAAATAATCTTTGTGGTTGCTTTGCCATCAGATCAACTTCTTCTTATATCAACAATAATACAATTTTAAATTGAAATAAGTAATTGATACAAAATTACAGGATTGATTTTCACATCTGTACTTCGTGAAAAATAATAAAATATACATATATGAATGGTTATTTAGATTACAAATTTATTTCGAGTTATTCGACTAATCCACAAATCTGATAATAGTAATCTTGTTGAGATCTCAATGATACTTGACGTTTTCAATACTATCTACAATAAAATCTTCAAGTACGTCTTACGGAGATCAACGACAACTTATTCCGACATCTGTTTGATATCTCAATGCTTGTTAATTGGTACATATCGGTGTTAATGAGTATGTCACTAAATTGATCCTATCAGTAGCGGTCACTGCGTTTGATTGGTTGGGGACATGTGTTCGGTTCATACTAAAGTGACTACCCTCGAGTACCGGAAATTCTCAGATACAGAAACGTTACACCAGGTTACTTGTGCAAAAGTTCTACATGTTCCTTACAGTCGAATTTGCAGATTGTAAACACGTTGAGCATCCGAATTTGGAAAAAATTGAGTGAAGCGAACAAATGAATTTCAAATTACATAGTAGCTTTCTCTAGAAATATCATCAACGTTTAAACTTTCGCGTGAAAGACAGAAATATTCGATAAATCAATACTCATCATTTTATAGCGTTTCTACGGGCAAATTATTTTAAAATGTATAAATATTGGGGTTCATCCATTCTAAGTAATTGAAAGGAAGCTTGTAACTTAGCAACGACCACCGTGGCAGTCAATGTATTAATATTCTTATAAATAAGATTTCAGATATGAATAGCATGAACAAGCTTGAAGAAGCTTTAAATGTTGACACTTTGCTTGATCCTAATAGTTGAATTAAATGTTACAAAAAATTCGTGTTTGGTGAAAGAAGTACAAAAATTGAATATAGTATTCATCGTATATTGGTGAATTACTAAAGAATCCTACATGGTAAAACAAAATTTGAATATTAAAAAAAAACGAAATAGTTGTTGGAAATATTCAAGGTTCTCTTATGTATTTACAAATATACAATACAGGGTGTCCACGTTAAAATGTGACAGTCGCAATATTTCAATAACTATTGATGATACGAAAAAATTGTTTATATATAAATTACAGGATAAAATAGGATCTCTATTTTGGTATAAACGAAAATTTTGTTTATGTTATTAATTTAAAAAGATATGATAGTGAAGTTTCGTTTTTTAAATGGAACTATATATTTTTTTTTTGATCGTGCGATAGTGCTTTTCAAGACAAATTCATTAAGCTGCAATTTACTCATCCGATTTTTATTAGTTTTCAATAAAAATATATTTTTTAAATTAGTAACAATTTTTTCGTATGATCAATAGTTATTGAAATATTGCGACTGTCATACTTTAGCGTGGACACCCTGTATGGAGGCCACAAAGTGATACTTTTAATATTGAAAAGAACAAAATAATTGTTGGAAATATTCAAGGTTCTCTTATCCATTTACAAACACATATGGAGGCTACAAAGTAACGTCTACATATGTACGTACACATTGATATAACGCAATTATTGAACTTTGTTTATCAATAATGTAATGAAATTATACGTTAACACGTGTATGTCAGTCATTACTATCTGATTAGTTTTGTATAAATTCAGCGACCACGACTTTTCAAGGCAGTACCGAAGGAATTTCTATACGAACAATTGAGTTTCCCGTAAGTAGAAATACATATAAAATTACTTTCACTTTAGGCATGGTTTAGAAACTTAATAGATCTTAAGAAATCATTTTGAATATATACGTTCTCTTTCCGGCACTTATAGCAAGAAAAATTATAATTATATCAAATACGTATTGTTCATGAAAATTATCTATTCAACGTCTTTACGTATGCTTTAAGTTTTACGTGAGATTAAAAATAACTTGTGATAAACATCTAACATTTTTAAGATTTCTTAATGTTTGATGTACCAAATTTTTACACTGAAATAAATATTAACAACAATAATTGTTCTTTTTTCTGTGTGCTTCATAAACATTGTAAGGTTGGATACTGGCACATAATGCATTAAGTTCTTTGCAGATGAGCGATATCTGTACTTTACAGTTTAATCAAATGATTGATCTTTTCTAATTGTTCACTATATGAAATGATATATCAGTGTTTCAAATAATGTTTTACTTAAGGTGTCTGCCTGATTTGAAGTTTGTAACGTTGGTTAATATTACGTTCATGGTTGGCACGATAACTCTTGCTTTCCTAATTCTAAACAGAAGCGTGACAAAATTCTTATTTAACATAAATGTGACTATAGTCCGTACCAGAAAAAATAAAATAGCTCGAAAATGGAGAAAATTATTGTGAGCGGCATAAAAAATTGTTACTGATATCAAGTTTATTTTATATTAAAAGATAGTGAATTTACTATTTATATTTTGATAAAAAATAATTAAATCATATTTAAGTTTAATTCTTTTTACTCTATCATTTAATAATTTTTTTTATTAAAAACATTGTGTTGAATTTTGTCAAAGAGATTTAAAAATGTAGTTCCACTAAAAACGACTTTAAACTTTAGTGTAAACACTTCTATTTACGAGCTATTTTTATTAAAAAGGCTCCAGAATATTCAACGAATATTTAAGAATCCTACGTTGAATATTTCATTTTCTACAGACAATCCATATCAAATGTGATATAATACCGAGAAGTGCTATTATTCAAATAAATATTTCGTTCGATAAAGAATTTTTAATATACGCATTATCTGCCTTATTACACCATACATTCAAACACCCATTGAAAATCTTTTCCAAACGGTAAAAGCATCACATTTTTCTAGAAATATACGTAATTGCATTAATGTTCCAATTTCACTGTGTTTTGTGACGTACAAATTTAACGTTAAAAACGATTGTAAAAATACAGAAGAACATGAAAATTTTAGCTAAAGCTAACTGAAACAATGGACAATTTTAATCAAGTTTTATTATTTTGAACTAAGAAGGAAAAATTGAATGCATATTTATAAATATAAAAAACGATTGAGAAATATTTGCTTTCTTTAAAAATTACATTCCTAACATAAGCATGTGCTGTTACTGATATATCGTTTCTTGTATTTCTTTAATTACTTTCAATAATGATTACAGTTGCGAAGCCTGTACGCTATACAATGAAAATCGCGATATTCATCTACGTCATCCTAATAGCGATTGCTATTGTTACTTGCGATACCGCTCAAGCAACATGCCAACAACAGCTGGAAAATGTAAGCTTGTTTTTGTAATATCACATTTGAAATATGAAAATTTTAATAAGCAAAATGACAACTACGAATACGATGCGTAAAAATATCTTTTTTCTTGACTTATGGCCAGACAATTATTTCTACTTTATTAAAATTGCTTACATTATCATGAACATTTTTTATTTTTAAATATAAAACAATTTTCTCTTCGAATAATAATATTCTGATATAATTAAAGTGCTCAAAACTATGACGAGAAAAACTAACTTAATTCATGTATGTTACAACTTCCTGTTCTTAAAACACTTTGATAATTATAATTGATGGTAGATAAGCTTGTTTTTGGAAGTAAGAGTAATTTAAGAATGAGATTTACATTTATTTAATTTAATGCAATTCAGTACTGTGAAATTCCCTTTAGCTACGTATTTATCAAGTAGATAATAAAACCTTAAGCAAAAAATAAGTCATTTTTGTATCTAACAAATACATTTACATCATCACTATTTCATATCAATATGTTATTAATTTCATCGTTTGTTCCTTTTGTAAGTTTCGCTACCACCACTTTTATTTTTTATTAAATATAACCTCTTTGTCGCACCGAACTTGCAAACGTTACGGAATTAGATTTGAATAAAAGGAAAAAATTAAAAACAAAGATATACGTGTGGATACAAAGGCGAGATACAAATATATGTTATTATTTCCTAAACGTGGATATCTCATAACATACAGTATACAATACAGTGAAAGTAACAGTAATATTGGACTTTTAATTGAGTGATTAAACATTGAGTCTCAGTTTACCATTTATAGCTACGGCTGATTTAATCTACAATTTCCAAATTGAGCAATTATACGCTTACCAGATTCCTTCTCTGTTAAATGTCGATGAAACTAGCATTACATGTTATCTTTAACACACAAAGAGGAAGAAATAATACTGGTTTTTATACAAAGGTCAAGGAAAATGTACTATTTAAAAAAAAATAACTGAATAATATCATAATGTAGACATTTTGAGATTACTCAATTCCAATTTCAATATTCTCCGATGAAATTATTGTTGTTCGAAAATCGTGAATACCATTAAGATAGATACTCTATACATACTCTATACTATCCCCAATCTATGATATTTATTTATTACATATTCATACCATTTCAGTGTCAAATATCTGACGACTGCTGTCCAGGTCTTGTTTGCTCTACGTACGCAGCTAAGTGTGTAGCCAATAGCGCTGGAGAAGTTATAAACCCCATCGGAGACGCAGTTACTTACGTTCCGTAAAACACGACAGGGTTCATAACATTGTAATAAGATAAACATATATTAATATAATTTGTTTTTATCTTTCGACATATCATTCTCTACTATATTGATTTTCAAACTTTTCGGAACATAATCCAAAAAAAAAGAAAAAACTTTCGCATCCAAAATTGATATATGTACAAAGTACTTCTGTTACGTTTTATTAAATTGATTCAAAATTACGTTGCTTTTATCGAAAAACTAGTTTACAAATAAATTCAAAATGTTTATTCGTTATTCGTTAATAAAATTTGTCCAGCCCTGGTCGACAGTCAATACAGCTTTTACGTTGTATTGTTTAAATAAAGTTTAGAAATTAAATTGTAAGAATTATCTCTAAATTAATTTTTGATGTAAGTTTATTCAAATCTATCTACTTCTTTTTATGAACTCTATAGGATGATTAAGTTTACGCCTATAACAATAAATGTAAACTCTGTATAAGAATAATGTAATACACCATTGTACGATTTAACTACAACTACGCCAAGATGCTAGGTCTGAACACAATCAATGACTCTGATCGATACTCAACAATTGTGATTGAATAGAATTCATTGTCTGTCGGTCGCTGAAGGTCGATTTTCTCATTGTGATTCACATCAGACTCGATTTCTACCTTTACACTACGACTCTTCTTTGTTTGAGAGACAGAGTGTGCTCTTGCAGGTTTACAAGGAAGAGAAGAAAAATAAATAATTATGTTGTGTCGCCCAAAACAACAAATTCATTTTAATCTAATGGTAAATACAAATCAATAACTTTTAATATTTGTCGTTGGAAATAAAATAAATAAACATTTTTTATTAGGGATGAAGAAGCTCAATTAACTAAGAGTATATGTTTTATTGCATTATAAAATTGTATTACGAACCTTTGATAATACAGCATTAAGGATGATAAAGAAGTATCTTGGTCGAATCAAATTAAGAGTATATGCGAAATGTGTAAATTAGAAAAAGTTTTATGTGATTTGGATGTATGTATAATAATAAGTAAATAATCCTTTTGTATACATTCAATGAGTGAGATATGTCGAAACGAAAATAAACAGTTGCAAATTCTAAAAAGTACAAGCGAAACAAGAACGATACAGTTAAATGAACCAGAATATGTAATTAATAAAATACAGGGAAGACACAAATTATGTAACGTAAACATCGATTACAGTAGCATAAGTAATATGTTAAAATTGTGAAATTAGAATATATTTTATTAATATGTACAAATTATTGAGTTTCAATAAAGTAACTTGTTTCGCATTCGGTAAGGAGTGCTCTCAAACTCATGTTGATTATCCCAATTACACATTTTATTATACGAGTGCCCAAAAATGATTGATATAAACCATTTAATGTTACCTAAACTTGAGAAAGCAATGTTTGCAATATGATATTTAATACGGAGTGCTGCGTAATTTCGAAACAAGCGAAATGGAGATAATTCGGCATGAAAAATAAATTGAACATGTAAAATGCTCGTAGAATATTTTGGTACGAAAATTGTTGAAGTACGTACGTACTTGACTACAACACGGTTCAACGAACGACGTTGTTGATGTTTATACGTTTCCAGGATATGCATAGAGCAGTGTTTCCCAACCTTTTTTTAAATCATGCCACGCGTCGACGCTGCGATGGATTTTCAAAATTGATTTGCTCGAAATCAGAGTCTTTGTCAAACTACACATTTATTCAAACTATTTTCTCAATCGTGAGACTAAGGTCTAAAAACCTTTCAACCTTTCAATATTTGTAAGTTCAATAGCGCTCGCAGAGCTATTATTATACTATCAGTTGTATTAACCAAAATAACGATACTAATTTATTAAACTTGGATAATCTATAATTTATAAACCACGAAAGTGAAAATGTTTTTGTAGGATGTGTACAAATTTAAAGAGTTATAAACTTGCTCGGTTGTTTTGCTGTCTGTCTATAAACAGAGTGTCGGGAAAAAGATATTGGCCACAGTTTACGGTACAGTGAAATTTAACGTTGTATAAAAAAAAAAAAAAAAGAGAAATATGCTCGACGTTTTCACTTGGCTACCATCTACGTATAAAAGGACAATATTACCGAGTGATTCGGTTTTCTTTCCTGTTGTTTCCTATTAAGCGAATTAAAGAACAAGAGGGTTTTGTCGAGAAATCAATGGATTGTATAAAGCCTGCAATATGCAGTCAATGGAATATCGGGGCAGAAAGCAAAAAGTACTCCCGCCGTTCCATACCGACGAATGGAGAAAGAATGTTCGCGGTGGATGCCTCTTTTGAATTGTTGTACAGTTTAGAGTATAATTGGAACGAATTATAATGTTTGAAATGAAGAGAACGGGTTAGGATTTGAATTTCACGTACTAGCTCGAGATACGCGTCTCGAAGGTATTATTTCACGGAATTAAATGCCAGACCCAGAGCTGCCTGTAGCTATTGTAATTTAATAGACCGCGTTTCATAAAAAAAAAAGTGGAAAAATTACATACGAGCAATAAAGTTGTAATATTACAGAATATTCGTTCGTTGATATGCCAGTCTGGAAATAAAGATTCAACGTGCTGCTCATGAACGTGAAATCGAAAAATATAAACTTCGAACAATAGAACGTTCGATTTCGTCGATTTATAATTTTCATACTCGATGCTTGTAATATTTTTATCGTACGTTATCGTTTGGTCTTTTCTTTCCGAGGCTGTAATTGGTATTTCAAAAACCTAATGCCGTTTCAATAAGCTTCGAGCTTTTAATTAAAATAATTAAAGCAGTGTTTCTCACACTATCCTTCAGAATCGAATTCTTAAGTTTAAAAAGTGTAATTTTTTATTTAAACTATTTTTACGTTCTTTACTAAAACTCATATACAAAAGGTTTTCTTGAAATTTATTTAAAAGTATGTAACAATACATTATTGATTCAAATCATATATGCATAATCAAATTATGCACGACTGCTGAAAACACCATCTATTTAATATGATTCTCAGGAAGAAACGGCAGAGTTACTTTCCAGCGTTGATAAGAATAATAAGAAGTTTGACGGAAAATTGCGTGCATGTCAACGAGGAAACATAAGAAATATACATAATGTATTGCGTAACGTATGCGACACTTTACCAAGAATATAAACTGTAACGCATTTTCCATTTCAATTGGAAAAGCCAGTCATTTAACTATCACGCTTTCCATAACAACTTTTTAGTTCATCGAGGCGTACCAGGAACTTGGACAGAGTCTACTTTAATTTGTAAACAATGCAACATTCTTATCGCTTAATTACAATTTCATTCTATACAAGAAATATAAAATAGGAAAGAATATGCTTGAGAAAATATACATAAGTTCGAAATATTACACAAATGTAACGTTACGTCACATTTTCGAAAAAGTAAATTAACCCAGACCAAATTCGAATATTCATTTACCATAATTATATAAATGTTTAAAATTAAATATTTACTAAATAAAAATAAAATTTCGATTTGACTATGCAATTTGATAATCTAATTAGGGCTAGGAGACTAAAATTTGACGCGAATTAGAATCCACAAATCATAAATTAAAAAAAGTTTGAAAAATTACAGTGTTTACAATTTTAAAAATCGTCGAACAATCAGTGTATCAATTTATTTCCGCGTAAAACAACGCAACGCTGAACCAGAAACGCGATAATCGTGTTTTATAAACATTTGAATGTGAGTCATGTATTCGCAGAACATTTTCTTACACATACTGTTTACGGTCTTTGAAATATATGCATATTCGCGATATATACGAGTTAAAGATTTGTCAGAGTGACGCGACGTCTTAGTATAAAAGCGTAGTGTACAGCAACTCCACAAGTCAGTTAAGGTCGAACTGTTGGTTCCAGTACTCCTAAGAAAGAGCTCTGTGTATCTGTGTCAGTTGCTTCTGGTAAGTAGAATTCAGTTTCTCCAAGGAACTGTTTCCAAGCGTAGAGAACGCGCGGCGACGCAGACTGTGTTAATTCGCTGCTAAAATCAAAGATCAATTTACCGAACTGACGTGAATTTAGTTATGGTTCGACGTGCAAGTTCTTCGTGCAAAGTGATTTGATATTCAATTCAGTGTGATGGGATCATAACGTTTGCACAACATTAGAATAAAAAATAAATCTTACGGTTCGTAAGTAAACAGAAGTGTTAGAAAAGCTAAATGTAAACGCACTAGTGAAGTTGTTTTCGTTCGAGAAAGTTCCCAGAATAACATTACTCGATGGAGTTCTTCGATATATTGACAGATACGTGCAATGAACTTTGATCGTTTGTTATCACTTATACATGCCATCCGTTTGTTCATTGTGTGAATATACTTTGCATAGAATTTACGTTCTCCTTGGTTTCCATTATTAGTACTCGATTAAAGTGCTATCTACTTTTATAGAAAGTCACTTTTTCGACGGTGTTTGTTGTTTTTACAACTATGAACAAACTTCAGTTGAAATTTAAAGTATGGTTAAGAGCATCCTGTGATTTAAAAAGCTAAACAAAGACGTTGATTTTTGAATATTTTCTCAAATGCTGTTGATTATATCTTTCTGCTGTAAGAAGACATTTTTTTTCACGAAAAAATATTAATGGTTTTTTATATCTTTGATTCTTTAAATTTGATTATTCTATTTACTCGATTATACAAACAGTGTAGTTTTGCAGTAAAGCTGAAACGTTTTTTAAAATGGATACAAAATGATCGAGGATATTCTGGTTGTGTATCCAGCCTTGAAAATATTAAAAACAGACCTTCTATACGAGTCTTATTCGGTCAGACGCTATAGACGTGTTTTATAAGGAAACATTGCTCGAGGCTGTCCAGATTTTATTTACTCATAGCACCATATTCTTCTTAATCTGAAACTACTTCATTTTTCTTTGTACTCCTGCTTTAGATATGTGTAGAATTTAGGAAAGATTTTAAGAACGTCAGATAGAAGAAATCAATTTTTATTGACTATTGAAATTCAGTGATCAGTAAAAAAGCCATCTTTCCAATATTTCGAGTTTTAATCCAATACTTTAGGAATGTGTATAGAAAAAAGAAAAATGCAGGAAAGAAAGAACAATGTTTTCGTAGGTCTAGACCAGAGAATCCTCTTTAATTTTTCTTTGTACTCCTGCTTTAAATGTGTGTAAAATTTAGGAAAGATTTTAAGAACGCCAGATAGAAGAAATCAATTTTTATTGACTATTGAAATTCATTGATCAGTAAAAAAGCCATCTTTCCAATATTTCGAGTTTTAATCTAATACTTTAGGAATGTGTATAGAAAAAAGAAAAATGCAGGAAAGAAAGAACAATGTTTTCGTAGGTCTAGACCAGAGAATCCTCTTTAATTCGATCGTGTTTACGCCAAGAAACCGCTATATTATTCGTCACGTTTTACGAAACGCTGAAAAGTTCTGTCTGCGCTGAATACGTGACAACCACTTCGTGAAGCAGATTGATGCTGTACATGTTTGGTCGTAACCGTACACTTTAGTCACTCTGTCCGCTATTCAAGAACGAGTCAGGTCAGTAGTTAATGACTCATTCACGGATACTTGTACACACCGTGCTCGCACAAAACTGGATCGCGCGCGCGCGAGCGTGTGTTCGTTAAGGTTGCTTAATGAGCTGGAATTTCATGAATCCACAGATGACCTTTGTAGATCCGTGTCTTCTATGGCGCCGAGACAAGATATAATTGGATTAAGAAGCGTCTCTCGTTTTTCTCCGTCGCGTTTTACAACTCTTTAAAGCGTACAAACGTAACGGAAAAAACTTGAACGACGAGAGAAGAAAATGGTTTTAATTTCGCGAATAATTAATTTCAATTACATTTTTCAGCGTGTAAATCCATCGCAAAATGGCCAAGCTCATACTGTACGTTTTCATCGCCTTGTTGGCTACGACTTTAGTCGTGTCAGCTCCTGAATCCTGCGGAAGACACGGCGACCAGGTAAGTTAAAAATAAGTTATTATCGCTCGTTTGGAAAACCGTGCTATTAGAAAGGCTTCGAACGACAAGGAGGATAAATTATGATGAAGTTACGCGGATCCCGTTCCGCTAACGAGCCTAAAATAGAATTTTAAAGCAGCCGTAATAATATGCGGCTGTTTGCTAACGCGAATATATTTCTTTGTTGCAGTGCGTCAGCGACAGAGAATGCTGCAATAACATAAAGTGTCACAGGTACGCGAACAGGTGTCAAGTACAAATCACGGAAGAGGAGCTGATGGCTCAACGCGAGAAGATCTTAGGCAAAAAGGGCAAAAGCTATTAAGGGAACAACGATCGTTGATATTGTAAAATCCCCAAAGTGAAAAAAGAAATGAAAAATAAATGGAACGAACGGGTACAGAAAATCTTTAAGTGTTTCCTGTACGATCACGGTTTTCGTTGCTAGAAAATTGTTTGGTAAAACGAACGCGATCGAGCTCGGTAACACGCACGTGATACAGCGAACTCGGAATTTCCATGCCAAGAAGAGGTCACCGATTATTAGGTCCCACGATTGTTATTATCAGCTCGTACGAGATTACTGCGTCGGTGAAAGTGTGGTCATTATGAAATGATATTCTGTCGATTCCACGGAAAACGATCGCGGCAACCGGGCAACAGTATTTAGAAAACAAACGCTTTTAAAAATTATACTCGATCGAGTGCGTCCTATCGCGTTGCGTTAAGTATTGCTCGATCGCGCATGTGGCGTTTCGAAATCACTATCCTTTTTATCCTTGGAACGACTACTTTCCAATTTTACTTTATCGGTCATTTTGGATCGTCTTCAAACTTTATTTCATCGTCAATCCTTTGCTCGAAATTCCTTTTTATATCGTCCTTGATTGCTTCGTATTGAAAAGAATTGTGTGGTGGATTTTTATTTGTTTGTGAAACGGATTATACAAAGTAGGCAACATCAGTTATGAAGGGTAATATACTGTTGACGTTTCTCGTCTAATTTGTATTGGCCCACTTCAGAAATGTACAAGAAACTCTATAAATAAACAGGACAAACGTGATTTACAATTTATACTCGTTCGAAATTAGCGATGCTTTAACCATTTAAGATCGATTGGTTATTTACCAGTACAAAATGAATTTGTTGCTGTTATTCAAGAATACGGACATCTTTAATCAGTTCATATACGAACTGTTTACTAAATATAAAACTTTAAATCTAAGTAATCTTGAAAATAATGCATTTTTGATAAAATTGTTGAATACAATAGTTTTTTAGTTTCAAGGCAGAGATTTATCTGGCTTATTTATTTTTTATTTATTGAAGGCTTTCAAGGGTATTTGTAGGGTAACTTTGTTTTTTAGAATAGAAATCTTTATTATTATTTAGAGATTCTTATTCTACATGAAAAAGAACGTGACGTTCGTGTCCTTTGTGTTTTTTGTAACAATCTATTTATTTGTTACTGATAAATAAATAATTATTCTCGAAATCCTATAAAGTGTATATGTCTGATGCTTTATATAAATTTCTACTTAAACTATAAAACTAGTCGCTCTCGATGAACATCCACAATATTTGCGACGCAGCAACGTGTTAATCAGATTTTATCTGAAAGATATTTAATAAAATAAGGAAAATTGTCAGTTTTGTTGCTTCAAAAATAAAGGAAGAAAAATTAAATTACACAAACGAAAAGTAAAAATATTTAAAAGAAAATTTAAAAAAGTAAGAAGTACAAAATGGAGAGCATTTTGAAAACACTGTGATTCTTTTCGTGTTATAAAACGATAATTTATTGTTTCGAAATGTATGTAGTAAAAAAATCACATGAAAAAGTATAATTATTATTAATTTATCATCATTTAGACATAAAAAAAAGAAGCTTCATAAATAAAACAATTTATTATTTGATTAAATATATTTATAAGACAAAATCTAATAAAAAAATAGTTCCATAGAAACGTTTGTTCCAGAATAAGACTCTGTAAATAAAAATATAGGTAGTTATCCTTCAACTAACCTTGAATGCGTTTGATAAACTAAATACATTTTCCTCTGGATATTACGAAACCTTTGTATTTAACATTTTTACATTTAAAGTTTCCAAATGAACATCCTGTATATGAATCAAAGGAAAAATATTACTTCCGAGCAAACAAGTAATATTGATTTGTCTCTGTTTCTAAACGATTAAATTATTCTAAAGTGGGTATGTGGATAAAAATAGTTAAAGTTAAATGAACCAAACGTTGGTAATCAAAGAAATCGAATCGTAAATTATCTAAAAATGCGCGGTGTCATTCCTGATGGTAGAAGTGGGCCTACAGATAAATTTACCTTTGTTCTGAAAAGCGGTAAAAATCGAGCGTGTTAAATAGAATTGGCGTGCGAAGAACAGGTGCGCAAGATGAGAAAGGGTCTGGTTTAATCACCTCAACTTATCTTTCGATAAACTCGTGCTCCAATCGACCATATGTGGCTCGATCGAAACCACCCGTGAACAATGTCTCGAGATTCCTGTTGTACAGCTAGACGGTATCGTAACTGTCCATGTTTTTCGTTTTCTCTCGTGCAATGAAGTTAATGCAATCCTTAACGCGATCGTCTGGCGGAAATCGGTGGATTATAATATACTTTTCACTTCCAGGCTGAACTGCTGGGAATTAGCAGCTACAATAACTCCTTTATCTTTCGTCTTATTGAAGAATTCATAATAAATGCTGTAACGTTTAGTGACAATATTTAACATTTCATTTCTACTTCGTACCTACTTCTAATTCTAACTTTATCACCCTAAAAGGCTGATTGCTACCTTGCTTTTTTATAAAAATATCAAGAACTAGATCATCTTTCATTGTTTAAATGGAATTGTCAACTTATTCTACTCTTTGAAAGAGTATCACTTTTTGGCTATACCATTGCTTTAAAGCCACAATTGATGGTAACAAAATGAAACTTTGAGAATGTAAATAATGAGTTTGTGAATTTAGAAACACACGAAGTTATGGGGAATTAAATTGGAAAAATTAAAATTGACGAGTCCTGCTCCCGTTACAAAGGGACGATCGTTTAAAAATCTGAGCTAACCGAACTACAAGCTTGTCGCTTGGGAAAGTTTGCAGCTCGTCGCAAATATTTCGTAGTCATTTCCCGATTACGGAAACATTACTCTATCGACCGTTAAGAGCCTTTCTAATTTTGAAAAGTAGATGGACTTTGATTCAAAGACTCAAAGCTTCTTGTGTTCGTTACAGGATATTTCCACCGCGTTTCAATCTCATTAGCTTCAGCTTAAAGTTAAGCGCCTCGACTCTTTTACGCCGTGCCCTCTCCGTTCTTTGACCATCGTAGGGTTTGCAAAGTTCTTTTCGATGTAAAAGACACGCCTAATGTCCGAGGAAAGACGACCGTGCACTTAATTCCGAAGACACTGACCATTAATGGTAAGTAAACATTTTCAGCGTTGAGCGAATTAAATCCTATTTTGACCAGCTTTCGATAATAACAAGGCAAAAAAGCGTCGAGAAAAGAAGATGAAGTAAATAAAGAGAAAAATGGATACACAATTTAATATTATTAATAAAAACTATTACTTACATCGTAATGTCTTATTATTTCGTTCAATCTTAAATATCAATATTGCAAGTTTGGAATTAAAAGTAATTAGAACACACTATTTACATTAATTATAATTAAATGTTCTTATGGTTTCTGTTATTTTTTGCAAAATTAATAATTTAAATCATATATATCATTTTTTATAACAAGAATTAGAATCCAAAACGTAAAATGGAATATGTGTTTAATGTTTTCTAGATATATATATTATGATATCAATATTTTAGATTTCATACAATGTTTGGATTGGTAATAATCTAAGCTAATGATATAAGTTTAAGTTAATAGTGTAGATCAATATAAATACTAATTTTTTTTGTCAGCATATAGAGTTGTCATACGTTATATACGACGCATAGCAAGAGAATGGGTTAAGAAATACAGTGGAATCACGATTATTGTAACCTTGATACTTGCATGTGAATCATGTTCGTTGCATTGTGTTAACTAATAGAATGGTTGGTCACTTAGCAAAACGTTACGTATCTACTGTTTGAGACAAAATAAAATCGTTGATAAGAAATCCACGCTGAGAAATTTCACAAACTACTTTTGCACTGTATTTTCAGTTATTATATTCCAACCTTACACATTATGCACCTTTCAATCCATATTTGCAGCAGAATTTTATTTTAATGATTACCTGTTAAACTCTAATAAAGAGTTACGAACAGTAGCAATTCTGAGTTTAAACTGGTCATAATTGGCTTCTTGTTAAATGCAGTTATATGCAAGAAATAATTGACTTCTTAAACTTACATCATGTTTAATGTTATATCAAAGAAAAACGCATTCTCTATCTGTTCCTTACGATTCGAACATCAATTACAAAGTTTTGTAATTTTGTAAAAGGTAATTGCGAAAGAATGTATTTTTAAGCACGAAGCCTGAGTTTTTAAATCATGTCAAGCGATTTCCCCGACGATGCTTTATCAAATACTGGCACCACTTCCAAACCAATCGTTAAAAATTTTTCAAATTTGAGGTCATGCGCGAAATTAAAAAAATTTTGTTTTCAACTTTTATCTACGGTACGTTAAACTTTAGAGTCTGCACTTTAATCCTATTTGCCTGTAATGGGACTACGACGTTTTTTCACCCGAATTACAGCGATTTAAAGCGACCCCTCCATTTTGCTCTTTTAGTTTGAAATTTGATTCATGTCACCCACATTATTTCTGTAAAATAAGAGATATGTGTGAAATATATGAAGAAAGTATGAGATACGCACAAAATATGATTTGCAAGCTCAGAATTTATATTTCGAAATACTTTATTTAAATTCGCTGTACAACTATACTTTACAGAACTACGAAGCTTCGAGATTCGCATTTAATAGGCGATTATAAAGTGTTTCTTTACAACAATAAGCAGTTCGTTAAGTGACTCACGATTTACTTTCAAACTCGCTATTAAAGTAATCTTATTTCCTTCGTTTATCTCGCTGTATAGAGCGTCATGAACTTTCCAATTTCGTTTCAAAATGGCGACTATTTCTAATCTATTCTCGTCGTCGGTGATCCCTTAGTTTTAATTTTCTCGAATCTCGAATCGCGTAACGTTGATAAGGTACAAAAAGTCCTATCTACCGGATCGAAGGTAAAGGCATCACTATACAAATATTTGCTCGATATACCTTATCGTTCTCCAGTTTAATTGCCATATGTTGTACTCTCATACTTTATAGTACACCTTCTGTCTTACAGTTACAACGCGTGCGTGCCCATATTAAATGTCAATTTCGGTTAGATCTAACGTTCTATTAATTCTAAGCCCAGTTCAGTTATACTTTCACATCAAATAACTTTTCTCCCGAAATTAAATTGCTAT